AAAGTTTGTAGAATTTGACGCCTTATCTAGAGCGCCTTTAGGGGATGTACTGTTTCAACCCTAATCTCCCTTTGTATTTCATTAAGGAGTCATCAATTGATATATTTTGTTGGGGGGTATAAACTTCTGAAAATTTGTTTTGAAGATGGTCTACCAGTCAGCGTATTTTTTGATGCCTATCATATTGGGGGTGATCTCTGGGATAAAAGAGGATATTGTCATTAAAGTGTAAAAAGCGGAACAGCAACTCATAAGTTGCTCTAGACATGGTTTGGGAGTACACTGGACTAGAACAGATAGGGTTGGTGCTCCTGTAAGAGCAAATTGATGGCTTTTTAATAATCCCCATGAGCATAGTAAGAGCTCGGAATTTCTTCAGTTCAAGGACATCTGTGGGATGCCAAGCATGTTACCTGACTGCATAGCTACCCGAATTGGTATTAATAAACTGGAAAGCACTCTCCTCCCAGATGGTATCCCCTAAGTATAACTCCATATATTGCATAAGGGATAAGTCATGCACATTGACATTAATGCCTGCTTTGGCACTAAAAGTGGGAATGTTGTCCTCAGCTAACTGTGGAGATACCCACTCCTCCACACTCGGCGTAACAGGGGAAGCACAGCTTCTTTTTGCAGCTGTCTCACACACAGATGACATGTCACTAGACCTGTCAGAAAACTGACCTGAGTGAAAATTGGACGCAGTGTCAGTGGCGTCAGAGTCTGATGCCAAGAAGGCAAATGCCTCCTCCTTTATGCTCTTAAGGCAGCATCACACCTCCCCTCTGATGGAGATGCAGATCGAGAGGAGAAAACAATAGTGCAGTATGTATAGGGCTTATTTAGAGAAAATATACCCTAGAAAACTTAATAAAGAAATAAATAAAGAACATGACTTATTTTTAATCACACTAATGCTGAGGAATATGAAAGATTTACAGATGATATCCAACACTGGTTGGATAAAATTGAAAAGGAGACCATCCATATCAAAAATAAAAAGGGATAAAACTGATTATTAGAAAAACAAGGTACAAATTTTTAATAAAAATAGGAATAAACACTATGATAAAAGAAATATTTTTCCATATAGAGACAGTTATTACACCTTAAGAACAAGAGAGAAAGGATAAACTCAATAGGTATTACTCAAGCTAAACTTAAGCTCTGTTTTAAGCTATAACTGTGGATACATTAGCATTAAAAAAGTCCCACAATATGAGGTTAAAAACCACATATAAAAATAATCTTAATTAAATTTGGTTAAGAGCTATTTATTTAAAAGTTAAATCATAATATGCATATTTTTTTTTTATTTTTTTTATAGACTACTTTCAGTAAAGGGTAAAACATCTAGAAATTGAAAACCACCTACTTACCTTGAGATAAAGCAAGGTTTAAACATTTCATAATAAACTCCCTTCTTTTCAAATACTTTCTTTAATTAGCAAGCCCAACATAGATTTAGTATAATAGGCTTATATGTATTCATTAAAGAGCTTTGGCTGGATTGCATTCTATCACAGTGAATTATCACTAATGTGAAATGCATTGTGATGTTAATGTTCATTATCAAACCAAAATCTGCTAGAACTGAAATAGGCATATATTAGATTCATACCATAGATAATGTTAACTGAGGTTTGGAGCCTTGATTTCTTTCAAATAGACTCAGGATGCAGAGACTTATCTCAAATACGAAGAGATCAGAGTGACAGCAATTTTGATAAGTAGGTTAATAATTGAAATATATAAAATATAAGTGTAGTGTTGAAATATCCGAATGTTATCAAACGGCAAAAGTATACATGTATTTTTTAAACATTTCCTTATATGACATGCTAAATCGCAGAATAGTTAGCTGAATATCTTTTTTGATGAAATAAAAAATATATATCTTAAGACTTCAGTTTCCCCCCCCCCCCCAAATTGTATTTAATTAGAGTTTTAAGGCTCAAAATACATCTGGATCGCAGTACATAAAAGAAAATAACACAATAGGAGTTAGATCACTTTTGTTTCTGTTTATGCAGTTCTAGCCACACCTTCCCTGGCTGTGACTGGCCCAACTTGCATGGAAAGAAATGGTTTCATTTTCAATCAGATGTAACTTAGTTTAAAAGTTTTTATCTCCTGCTCTTTAAATTGAACTTTAATTACATACAGGATGATCATGAAGGTTCTAGCAAGCTATTGACAGTGCAGAAGATAAGACATTCTTAATTAAACAGAATTTGCAATAAAGGAAGTGTAAACATTAGAGGACTCTTTACAGGAAGTGTTTAGGAAGATTGTGTAAATCACATGCAGGGAGGTGTGACTAGAGCTGCATAAACAAAGTGATTTAACTCCTCGATGGCAGAGAATTGAGCAGTGATATAAGGGCATAACTTATGCACCAAACTGCTTTATTAAGCTCAAGTTACTTTGGTGACTATAGTGTCCCTTAAACATCTGGTGAATTATATGGTTTGTGTTTTTTTTTTTGCAAAAGTCCCTATCATAAGAAGAAGAAATTAAAAATAAAAAGCACCATTTTTGTCTTTCCAGATTGGGTTGCAGTCATCACTTATTTTCTGTATATATGTGGAAATTATTAACAGATTGGTAATGTTTGTACTAATTTATATCTTAGAAAATATTAATTGAGATTTGAAAAATATTGAAGTACTATGGTATTTAAAAGGTTGTGCTTTATACAAAGCATATACAATCTCAGCTGTCATTGCATCTCATTGTTTTAGCGCCCTCATTTGATGGGTTTTGTATTCACCTTCTGTCTACTATTTGTTTATTATAGGCTTTTTTGGAGTGTGCCTATCGAGTGGCTCCTTATATCTGGATCTACCCCCATTGTATGCTTTATACTACTGCACAGAGAAATATATCTTCGATAAAGCAGTTAATGAGATCCTTTTAAACTAACCTAACCAAGCCTTCAGAAGCAAAACATTATTATGATCGCTGCTTGGCAAGTTCAGCCAATCAGATTTAATCTTGGATTGTAGAATCCAAACCATACTTTACAACAAAATATTTTTTGTCCCCTAAAACAAAGCCCTTTTAAAAATTGACAAATTACATTTGTTCAGATGCCCATAGTTTTTTATGCCATATTTGTCATACATATGTCTCTACTTTTATATGTAAATGCTCCAAACTTATTATATGTAAAAGATGATGCAGCTGTTTTGACTATCTATGTATGTACCATTAGTTTCCATAAATAAAATATAAAAAAACGGGAATTTTTTTTTGTTTTTTGTTTTGCCTACAGTGGCTAATACACAGCCTGTGGAATTAAGGAAAACGTATTGATATAAATGTACATGCTCATATTTATGGATAATTCATACTGTTGGTATTTCCATTACTTTGGTATTTGTTTACTTATTCAGAGAGGGTTCTTGTTATCTTATTTTCCAGGTTGATTTAACTTGTAATGTTACCATCTAATTGCATGTTGAATTTTCTAATTATTATTAGTAGAGTTAGCTAATTATACAGTTCTACTGAAAACACACTGGAGTATTATGAATAAACAACAATACAGCTATAACCCAACAAGTAATAATCTACTCTAGACATCACATCACACTGTGCACTTAACCTCCCTGACAGTTCTGGTTCCTCACTGAATGATGAATGGTTTGTTGAAATTTAATTCTGAATTGTGATCGGATGTTGGTATTGACCGTAGTTATCTTATAGTTGTAAGCTTTTAAAAGTTATGCCAAGACATGTACCAGTTGAGTAATTCCTAAAAGCAAACGTTTAACTGTCTAGTATGGTTATTAAGTTTAGCTTCTCAAGGATTAACCTAACTAATTAATATTTTGAATGTCCATCTGCCAATTTGGGCTAAGCTGACCTCTCGGCTATAAGTAAAAGGAGCATCATACTTGAACCTATACTCTATAATATTAGGTCTGTTCTTATTTCAAAGTGCAAAAGTTAAGTGTAAAAAAGGGCAATGCTTGTGCAATTTAAAAGATCTTATATAGGGATATAGCAGCTGTGGCACTCTGTGGATACTCGTTATATCTCATGACCAAAACAGTACAAGTGTCTCCTGGCCTGGTAATCTCCATTTGAAATTGGATTAAAGAGTTGTGCCACTCAATATCTGGCATTTCATCTACAAAATTGGAACCAGTCTTATATGGGCTCCAAGTAAAGGCGAGCATATTAAATTATATAAATTTGATTATATGGTTTATGGCAATATTGCACTAGATTATTTTCTTTTTTTTCCTATTTATTTTATGCACTTTATTGGAGGAATATCACTGGTTATCAGAAGAGATCTTGTTGCCGCCTAAAAAGGCACAGAGGTCCTTGCTTTCAGAGCCATATCGTACAAAAGGCTCAATAAATTGTGAGCATGTATCATCTCTATGCTATTAATTTTAATGCAAAGTACAGCAATATCTGTACTATTGTTTCTTTTTTTTCCTCCTGTTTTTAATATATGTGATTATCGGCTTCCCTATTCCTATATTTAGGGGTAAGCTTGTGTATTTTGTTGTTAAAATGTATAGTGCTGCACTTGCACTTTAGTGTTTGGGAGGTGTGCGCATCACCTAAACACTGAGTCTCTATATGTGTGTATCGTTCTTATTTCAGTTTAAGGATTGTTTCAGTGTAATCTAGAATATTCACCCCCCATGTAATCATATACACATTATCAGGCTAAAATGTACACATATGCACTCATTTAGCTTTTTTGACTAAATAATGAATACTGGAAGCTGGCTAGCTGGGATGGGAATGATGTCCTTACAGTCAGGATGTATTTGAGCTGCATGTAGTGTGTATCTGGTGCAAAACAAAAACAACAAAACAAGCTAACAAATATTCTAACATCCCTTACATTTGTTAGTTTACTATTCCAACAGTTTAATTAAAACTCTTTGGCAGTGCTCACATCAATTCAGTAAACTTAATATATTATCTATCTTACTCTGTAGTTAAAACTTGGCACCGGCAGCCAAATCTCAGTCCAAACTCTGTAGCTTGAGCTCTTTGTTTGCTAAGCTGCAGAAAGAAGCTGTGGATTTCCGAGGAACAATTATCACATTGCAGGCACAATATAGTAGGATCTCTGCAGCAACTACCTCATGGTGAATTTCTGCCAAGTCGATCTGTATCTTTCGGAAATCATTGATTTCTAACTGAAGAGAAAAGAGCAAATAGAACTAACTTTACCTACATATTCAGAGTCAGTGGACTGATAATAAATTACTGGAAGTAAACTTGAGTCAGAAAAATATCAGAATATGACCAATGATGATTTATGTACACAGCTTTTAGTGACCAGGCCTACATATTTTTACTTCTCAGATCTTATATGTTATGTAGTCCTTTTATCGAGCACACAATGCCTGTGACACTGCAAAGAAAACTCAAAATCAAAATGAAGATGTCACAACAGTTTTCAAAAAGTTGCAATTTCTGCCATTTCAATTTCAATTTCAAATGAAAAAGTGGAGGTAAAAGAAGGGTCATGAAAGTCCTTGTCAAGCTTCCTGATGCACCCATGAGCAGAATAAAATGAGGAACATATGCAGAAGAAAAGTAATGTTATCAAGAGTAACAAAACTCTTAAAAATATGCCAGATAAAAACAAATTAAACTCTGACAACCTACAATTTTTCAAAACACAAGAATGAAAGATTTAATTTGCAGAGTACAAAGATAAAGGATAGGAAAGCAGAGCCTTAGCCAAAAGACACAAGTTCCCAAATATTTCTAAACCACTTGGCAGATTATTGCTAATTACATCCTTTGTGTTCTTTCCCCAGGTTAAAAAGGAGGTAATGCAAAAAATGTTTTAAGAACACAGTCAAAGATGTGAGTCCAAGTAAACATAGAATCAAAGTCCTATTTTCTCCTCATGTTTCCTTCAAGGCTAGGGAGAAACATTTGGGAAGTTTAGCCAAAAATGATCACGCCTCCTGAAACTGAAATGATTATGAAATCAATGGTAAGGCTGAACCTTTCCCAGGATCAACTGTGAATTTAAGTTAGACAATATGTTATCATGAGGAGAATTATAATAAAGTGAGAGAACAGAAAAGGTTAAGTATTGAAACCATTTTGAAATTTTTATGAAAACACAAGGTAGGAGTATTATAAATAATATTGGAGACTCAGTCATTGGAATAAATGGAAAAGTATGTAACAGTAAATTTCCACTCACTGCAACATATAGAATACATGTCATTATTAGCTCAATTATCTGGGTGATAATGACGGCAGTTCCTACCAGTCTGGAGACGTTTGTGCAACTGGCCTTGACAATATTTTCACAAGTATCCCTCACTCCTATGCGTTGTCCATCTTCATCTTCTTCATAGATGCAAGAGATTAGCATTTTGTCAGTATAGTTGCAGAAAAACACTGAAATGATAATGAAAAATATACCACTGTATCCAGTATGAAGAAGCGCGTATGGTAATGCTACCACAAAAACTCCCTGTAATAGAAAATACAAAAATAAGTATCATATGAAAAAATAATTAACTAGTTATATTTGGCATTTTCTGTTTACCTATGTGATGTCATAATAAAGATGACAATACATTACAGGGGTTTATAATTTCACCTGGACAGCACTTTTGGGGGTATCGCCACTGTAGACTCTATCATCGATTTTTAGTGCATCGTATAAAAATACATTTGAAGAGGAAGATATATATTTATAAAATTAACAATAAATAAACTTCAGACAATAAGTGAATACATTATCTGAGTTACTATTTATTATATTTTAAGTTTGTGTGGTTACTTTTTATTATATTTTAATTTTATGAATAAAGGAATACTGACCATTTTACCTTTTCTGTGCCATATACCTTTTTTATTTTTATTTTAATTAGTTTTATTTTTTTAAAACCTTGTTTTTTGAGAAATCTGAAGATCTCCTCACTAAAGAATCCCAGTTGGAGATTATACCACCTACGCCTAAAGAATTGAGCAGTATTTACTGCTTATTCATATGTGAGTCTAAGACCTCTAATCTGCATGCTTTTAAATTATATTTTTAACAGAGTACTATCTTTGCTTTTTTTCTTTGCCGGGACAACGTCATCCTGAGAAACGTACAAACAACACCACCACCTACAGTTGCAAGAAAAAGAATGTGAACCCTTTGGAATGATATGGATTTCTGCACAAATTGGTCATAAAATGTGATCTGATCATCATCTAAGTCACAACAATAGACAATCACAGTCTGCTTAAACTAATAACACACAAAGAATAAAATGTTGCCATGTTTTTATTGAACACACCTTGTAAACATTCACAGTGCAGGTGGAAAAAGTATGTGAACCCTTGGATTTAATAACTGGTTGAACCTCCTTTGGCAGCATTAACTTCAACTAAACGTTTCCTGTAGTTGCAGATCAGACGTGCACAACGGTCAGGAGTAATTCTTGACCATTCCTCTTTACAGAACTGTTTCAGTTCAGCAATATTCTTGGGATGTCTGGTGTAAATCGCTTTCTTGAGGTGATGCCACAGCATCTCAATCGGGTTGAGGTCAGGACTCTGACTGGGCCACTTTAGAAGGCGTATTTTCTTCTGTTTAAGCCATTCTGTTGTTGATTTACTTCTATGCTTTGGGTCATTGTCCTGTTGCAACACCCATCTTCTGTTGAGCTTCAGCTGGTAGACAGATGGCTTTAAGTTCTCCAGCAAAATGTCTTGATAAACTTGCGAATTCATTTTTCCTTCGATGATAGACATCCATCCAGGCCCTGACGCAGCAAAGCAGCCCCAAACCATGATACTCCCACCACCATACTTCACAGTCGGGATGAGGTTTTGATGTTGGTGTGCTGTGCCTTTTTTTGGCCACACATAGTGTTGTGTGTTTCTTCCAAACAACTCAACTTTGGTTTCATCTGTCCACAGAATATTTTGCCAGTACTGCTGTGGAACATCCAGGTGCTCTTGTGCAAACTGTAAACGTGCAGCAATGTTTTGTTTGGGCAGCAGTGGCTTCCGCAGTGGTATCCTTCTATGAAATCCATTCTTGTTTAGTGTTTTACGTATTGTAGATTCGCTAACAGGGATGTTAGCATTCGCCAGTGACTTTTGTAAGTCTTTAGCTGACACTCTAGGATTCTTCTTCACCTCATTGAGCAGTCTGCACTGTGCTCTTGCAGTCATCTTTACAGGACGGCCACTCCTAGGGAGAGTAGCAGCAGTGCTGAACTTGCTCCATTTATAGACAATTTGTCTTACCGTGGACTGATGAACAGCAAGGCTTTTGGAGATACTTTTTTAACCCTTTCCAGCTTTATGCAAGTCAACAATTCTTAATCGTAGGTCTTCTGAGAGCTCTTTTGTGCGAGGCATCATTCACATCAGGCAATGCTTCTTGTGAAAAGCAAACCCAGAACTGGTGTGTGTTTTTATAGGACAGGGCAGCTGTAACCAACACCTCCAATCTCATCTCATTGATTGGACTCCAGTTGGCTGACATCTCACTCCAATTAGCTCTTGGAGATGTCATTAGTCTAGGGGTTCACATACTTTTTCCACCTGCACTGTGAATGTTTACATGGTGTGTTCAATAAAAACATGGCAACATTTCATTCTTTGTGTGTTATTAGTTTAAGCAGACTGTGATTGTCTATTGTTGTGACTTAGATGATGATCAGATTACATTTTATGACCAATTTGTGCAGAAATCTATAACATTCCAAAGGTTTCACATACTTTTTCTTGCAACTGTATATCCTACCAACTCCACTGAATGCAAATTACACCTGAGCTTGTACTAGCTCTAAAGTAGGTGAGTAGAACTAATTCCTATTTATACTCTATGTGCCTGTGACATACTATACCATTGGAGGTTTTTTTTTTTTTAATCTCATTCTATGTTTCAACTGGATCAGATCAAGAAATACAGTGACTTCTAGACTCCCACTAAAGATAAACACAACAATCCTATGCCTCACCACTAAAACCAGACTTTCTGTGAACCTCCATGTATGATCTGTGGAGTGTAAATCTTAACATTTGACTTTTACTGTAAGTACAATTATTTTATCATATTTTTAACAAAAAAACAGTGGCGCAACCTAACAACTGTTCTATTTTACTAATACATTATCTGAACCAATTAGTGGATGCTATTTAAACCCATTAGAGAAGAACAGCGTATGAGCCCATTTTTTTTAGGCCTGTGAGGAGCTTTCACATCAAAATGAATGAGGCTTACTTATGCTTATACAGTGCAGCCCTAATGTTGTACACAGCTTGAGCATAAGCTATCGGCAACTGTACGGCACACGAGTCAGTGGAATGTGGTAATATGCGTACTACATCCAGGTTAAATAAGAGAACATTATCTTTCTGATTTTATTCCCTTTGTAGCTAGCAAACCTATCTTTGAGCACTACCTCTACAACCAACTGATGAACCAAAACCCAATAAGTCTTGGAAATACTTAATATTTAAAACACAAAATAGCCTTAATCATATTAACAGTAACAGTAACATATCTAATGGGTACTATACTTTATATCACTTTGAAAAGAAGATGCCCAAAAAGGAATTATAGAGAGGAAGTTTCAGTAAAAAAAAACAACCTATTGTTTGATTGTACTGTAAAAGATTTTGAGGAAAATCTCATTATCCATGCTGGGTACATTTTGAAGTGTTTCTGTTAGCACGTTCTACATATTATCTATTCAGAAAAGACCTAATAAGTGTTGATCATTTATAACATAGTACTACTTTCAATATTGTCCCTCCATTATCAGTTGATAAAATACGCCCATTTAAATGTTCCTGTTTTCCCATTGAGTTCATTTTCCCAAAATCCCATTTGTCATGCTACAGAGTGGTATGGATCCCGGCGGGTGCGCATCGTTGCAGCAGCATTCCCACACATTAAGGGGAATGCCGCCAAATCTTTACCTGACTTGCAGACACTCGCCGGGTCCGCTCATGCCCTGCAGCAGACTGGGACCCGGCGGGCACGTCTTGTTCTGGCGGCATTCCCACGTGGTAATGGGAATGCTGCCCAGTACTCACCTCAAGCCTCTGACGGGAGCTCCTCCTCCTCACACAGCGGCCAGGTATTCAATCATTAGAGATGCCGGCTGCTGCAGATTAGACTCTTTTAAGGGTTTATATTAACCCTTAGAGTGCCATTCCATTTGGAACGTGTGGGTGATGTCACACACATGTTCACTATCACATGCTTCCCTGTAGCCAATCAAGGAGCATCTTAGCATCTATATATACACACCTTTTTTTATTCATTTCTCTGTGCCCTGTCGTGGTTTCCATTTTGGTTATCCGAGAGCGTGTTCCTGGTATTGATTCTTGTGTATCTTGGCTTTCCTTCTGACTATCCGATCTCTGTATTCCTTGACCTTTGGCTTGGCTCCTGACTATCTAGACCTCTATATTCCTTGACTTTTGGCTTGTTCATTTTTTTTTTGTGTTTTCTGTGTTCTCGTCCACAGCCTGTCTTGTGGGTTTTCCTTTTATACGTTAAATTGGGCCAATATATACACACCTTTTTTTATTCATTTCTCTGTGCCCTGTCGTGGTTTCCATTTTGGTTATCCGAGAGCGTGTTCCTGGTATTGATTCTTGTGTATCTTGGCTTTCCTTCTGACTATCCGATCTCTGTATTCCTTGACCTTTGGCTTGGCTCCTGACTATCTAGACCTCTATATTCCTTGACTTTTGGCTTGTTCATTTTTTTTTTGTGTTTTCTGTGTTCTCGTCCACAGCCTGTCTTGTGGGTTTTCCTTTTATACGTTAAATTGGGCCATTCTAAGGCCCGGTGATACGTCTTAGGGTTTTCTTTATTTATTACTTAAGTTCTGCGTGTTGGGCATTAGCTATTCCTGATACCATTCTCCAGCAGAAATGACACTTGAGAATTATTAAAGTTTGAGAAAAATGTATTTCATGGATGAAACTGAGTCTCGAACCTGTACGGCTCCTTGAAATTTCATGTCTTGCAGAATTCTACCCCTTCTGGATCCTGATCTAGACTGTCTATGTTCTACCCAGCTGTAGGCATTTCTACCTCCAATTTAATACTACATAGACTATAAGGTAAAACATGTGATATCTTTGCTTCAGTACAAAAGAGTCTATCATATTTTAATTGCTATACAGTGCCTGTAATCAATGTTTAACCTTTAGCCTGCTGTGCTACAGTGTCTATTTTAATATAATCTGAAGTGGAATAATTACATTGGAGAGTTTTTTTTTTATAGAATACCTGAATAGAAGTTAAATATCCCACAGTAATTATAATCGAGACATAAATCACGATGAACTAACATCTACTTTACATGGCAGATTCAATATAAATGAAGAAATGCTTATCAAAACATTAGCATAATTTAAAACTTACAGAAACTGGTGAGTTAAATAATTATTCCTAAGAATTTAGAACTAAATTATACTTGCTGGATAATTGCTTAATATAAGCAA